TATATGAAATACTACAACTTTTGTCTTATGTTTCAACCCATCAAGAATGCATCTAAAATAAATCTGTAATCTTTTAAAGCACATTCCAACATCCTTTCTTTTAAGGCTTTTCCTCCTCCACTCGAGTTGAGATTTTTCTTGTTTTCCTCGCCCCCAAAAAAATTCTAGCCCAGTCACATTGCAGGAAAATGTGCGGAAAGCAGAGTCAATTTGCTGACTTACATAAAAAGTGCATATGCAACCATTTCTCCTTGAGATGGGGTGGAGAGGAGAGGCTTTTCCCGCCCAGGAAATGCAATTTCCATATGGGCGATGGCAGAAAATGTACAACACTTTGCTTAGGATAACTCGTCCAAGCTCAACAAGAACGTAACGAAACAGACAACAAAAAAATACCTGCAAATGCTCCCAATCTCGGCCCCCACACCACCGAAAAAAAGGCACGTAGTTGGGCTTTCTGGCTGGCAGTTATATCCTGGCATCCTGGCGATGCCTCCAGGGAATTACCTTGGTTATTGTTTCAACATTTTTATCTGCCCGCCCTCGACAACAGACCAAAAAAAAAGCATGCAAGGAAGCAGGTGAAATAACAACAACGAGGCGACGACTGGGGCAAGTTCCTAAAAAAATAAGGAGAGGGGTGCATTACATATGCCACGAGTGCGTTTGGGCATAAATCCCAATTTAATCCATCCGGCTTTTAGTTTTCTACATTTCCCATCTCCCCAAACTCCCAAAACTTTTTCTAGCCAACACTGTGTGTGGTCTTGTTTTCCGTCATAATTTATAATTTTCTTAGCCGAGTTTAAGTGTGTAACCAAAATATTTTCAATTTCATATTCTATTAAATAGATAAGAGTTTTAAATGGATAAAACTTTTAATTATTGACGGGGAATCTTGTGTTTTTTGTGTATTTAAACTATTTCTATTTATTATGTAGCTTTAAAAAGTAAATTTATGTATTTACTTTACTTTGGTAATTTATTAAGTAACAAATTCGTTGTTTAATAATGTTGACAGTGTGCTTACATCATTTTTTTAAGTTTTTTACTTGCTAAACTCTTCTAGAAAATGTAAGGTTTTTTGCTTTTGTAAAGACAGTTCTAATTTAAAAGTTAAATATATATTTTACCAAATATATAAATATTTACAAAATAAAAATACATTTTCTAAAAAATAGCATAGAATACTGTTGCAGATATAAGCAATCTTCATGTGCATCCTAAAAAACACACATGATTTGTTGTTGCAAGCTTCAGTTCGCAAAGTTACAGAATTTTTCCTGGATTTTCAATTTTAGTATCAGTTTTTCATTAAATTCCAAGGATAGTGGCAACAAAAAATACCCACTAATTGATAAATTGTTTTTAACCAAAAGAAAGAATATGCAAACTTCTTTAGCTGCTGAAATCCCTATTAAATTGTTGCAGTGTTCTTACCTTTTTTATATTTATTTTGTTTAAATTTTTTTGTTGTTATTTTTTCACCAGCCTAGTACAATTCCTGCCCCTCTGCCCCCTGGCCCCCCCCCCCCCCCCCCCCCCTTGCAACTCTCTGTCTCTAGCACTCCCCGGTGACTTGAATTTTGGCTGAAAACTGTTTTCGGTACGGGGCCAACATTTTCATGTATTCGTGTTTCGTGTTTCGCATTTTGTTTGTTTTTGTTTTTATTTATTTTTATATTTTGGTGTTGTATTTCTACCTTTAAATGCTTGTTCTCTGTTGTGTCTCGCTTCCACCTACCTGCCGCTAAGCCGCGCTTTCGGAACAATAAAAGATAAGCCAAACGTAATCCCATAGGGATTGCCCCCGATCTCGGTCCCAAAAAAAACCTGGCATTTATTATTCTTGCAGTTCGTTTGTGTAGTTCTTCTGTTATTTCTACACCAACGTTGTTGTTGTTGTTGTTGTTGTTGTTGTTGTTGTAATTGTTGTTGTTGTTGAAATAGAAACTTATCAGTGGCCTCTGAGCAATCACAACGCTGTGGAAAAAGAGCTCACAAATGGCATTACATGACAGGGGGAAAACTTTGATAGGCGCCAGCGATCATGATTGTGAAGCGAGCAGGCGATTGAATCACTCGATGACAAAACAACTTCGATATACAATCAAGGTCAAAGGATTAGGAACCATAGAGTATTAGTATGTGATACCCATTAAAGAGAACATTGAGCGAGAATATTACTTGGGATTAAAGATATACTCCAAACTTTACCTAATATTTTAATAATATTTGGTAAATAAATGATTAAATTAAATACATTTTAAGGTATTTATATATTTGTACATCTGATACCCATTAAAGAGAACATTGAGCGAGAATATTACTTGGGATTAAAGATATATTACTCCAAACTTTAACTAAACTTTTAATAATATTTGGTAAGTAAATGATTAAATTTAATACATTTTAAGGTATTTATATATTTCAATATACCCGTTCATTGCTGGGTATCATAATGCTGAGCCAGGCGAAAAGAAAATGCAGATACAAAAGACAAGTTCGAAATATTTATGACTCCCTCGAAAGAGATGGTCAAAGAGAATGTCAGCACAGTGAAGTGACTAAGCTTTGACCCCGACTTTAATACCCCTCTCTCTCTCTCTCTCTCTCTCTACTACTACTCCTTTACATTCTCTTTCGTTGGAGAGCTTAGTTTAGTAACCCATTCAACTTGTCACCCATTTTCTGTTATCAATTCCACTTTCAGTTTTCATTTACATTTTCCCAGCTCGTGTGAAGGCGATAAGCCTCTGCCACAACGAAAAAAGTATCTGACGGATGCTTTTATAAAATAGATGTGATAGTTTGTATTTTAAGATATAAAACCTAAGGAAATATATGAAAGTGTAAGCTTAGGTAACAACAACAACAATTTTAAGAAAATTATAGTTACAAATAATATGAATAATTATATAATTCAAAGATTATTACTTTAATTTTGTACAGTGTGCTTGAAAAGCTTTTCAATTAGCTTAGAAAACATATAATAAAAACAAAAAATCACAAAACAAGGCAACAAACACATTGAAATGCATTTTCGACAGGCAATAAAGTTTAAAGTTAAAAGTTCAGTTGAAGGCCAACTGCAGCTTAATTCTACTTCTCCTTTTTTTTAAGTTAGCTTCTCTTTTTTGAGTTCTTTTTCTTGGCCAACTAAAGTGAAGCCCCACAAAGTGCACTAAAAAGCAGACAGAACAAATGCTTAACAAATACATACGCATGGACATACCTATGTATGTATTATATAAAAAGAAAAACAGAAAAACCGCCTGTCGAGACACATTTGAGCAATAAAAGCAAATGCGAAAGAAGTGGAAAAAAATATATAAGGAAAAAAATAAACAATAACGAGGCCAGCAAATCACAGCGGCCAAAGAAGAAGAAGCGTGAGCCAGGTAATCAGCACCACGAAAATGGCACAGTGGGTGCGGTGTCAAAGGTGGGAAAACCTCAGGAAAAATCACAGGAAAAATCGAACAAGGAAGCTGGCTTTAAATTAAAAAAATTTAATCTTTAAATAAGGTAAATAAATAAAGGAATAAGGTAAGAATAATGGGTAATAAAAATAGAAAATAGAATAGAATAGAGAAATCTGTAAAATATTTAAAATATGTTTTAAAATTTAAATGAAATATGAAATTGAAAATATTACTAGAAAGCTAGCAGTAAAAAAACTTTGAACTCTTCTTAATCTATCTTGGAATTAGATAAATAAATAAAGAAAATAAAGAGAAGAAAAATTTTTAATCAAAGTGAAAAACAATTAGGATGCTTGAAAAATTAAATAAGTATTTAAAGTAAGGTAAAATCAAGTAAAATTTAATTTTTAAATATATAATATATAATTTAAAAATCTAAATAGGAATATAAAAAGGCCATTAAAAAAGGTTAGAACTTTTCTTAATGTGATTTTTTGTAAGATAAGTTTTATCAAATTAAAAAATAATTAGGAGCCTTGAAAAATTAAAAAAAAAAATTAATATTGCTAAATATAACAATTTTGATTAGTTATCAATGTATTTATTTCGGTTAACTAACCTTTTGGTTTATATTTATATATTTAGAAAGAAAAAATCTAGATGTATTATAATTTTTCCCGTATTAATTTTTTTACATTTCTTTTTTTCAAAATAAAAATAGTTTTAGTAACACATCCCGTTTCAAGAAAATTCTTCTATTTCCCATACAAATCCCTCACTTTCGCCCCACTGTGCCGACAGGAAGCCGAGTTGAAGAAGCAGAAAAGTTAAGCCAAACAAAAGGCAAAGGTAAAGAGCAGCTGCTTCGCTGCTGCTGCTCTCCTCCGTCTCTCGCTCTCAACGATCGCTTTACCTGGTCCTTTTTGTTCATCCCCTCACCCTCTTCAGACACACACACCCTCCCCCCACCCTCCCTGGCCGTACCTGTGCGCTTGCTGGCCATTGGAGCGTGAGTGGAAGGGAGATGGCAGCAACAATAAACCTGCTGCAACGACCCGAAAAATTTGCATGAGCAGAAGCAGGAAGGGGGAGGAAATGGAGGAAGGAAGGCGAGTAGAAAAAGGGATGGAGAGGAAATGCATTATAAAATGCATTCTATAAAAAATATTCCCATCAAAAAACAACCCAGAAAGATGCATTGATGCAATAAACAATGTAATAATGTTGTTGTTAAAGAACGATTAATTCCCATACTTGAATAGGTTACCACATTTTCTCTGTAAAAAGGTGGTAAATTTCAGTGCGGGTGGCGGCAGGTAAACGACGTTGAAATAATAATCCGGAAATTTCCACACTACCCGAAACCAAATCCGTAATAAAAAGAAACCAAAAAGCCGAACCAAATTGAAAATAAATGAAATGCAATCCAAAAAATTGCTGCAATCCATAAATAAAGGTGGCTCATATTATCTGACCCCCCCCCCTCTCCCCCTCCCCACCTACCGATTCCGTTGTCAGTGAAAGTTCTCAGCGAACGTGTCGCAACATAATTAAACATGAATAAAAATGGCTTACCTCAGCTTGGCGGCTTAAACGAGATTCCAATTAATTGCTTGTGTTTTCGAACTCGAGCTCCATTTGATTCTTGAAACAAATAAACAAAATAAAACCCGAAAGACACTTAGATACAACCAGAAAAAAATTTAATAAAAAATATGTACGAAGCGGGTGGCTTAAAAATTTTCCTTTACATAAATGCTATCTCTAGTCGTTTTAATTAATTTCGTCACAAAATTTCTTTACATAAATTGTGTAATTTTGCTGGATTTGCTTAATTTGATAAATTTTAAATAATTAACAACTTTGTCAAATTTTCACATATTTAAATCGTGTTGAATCAATGTTTTGATTTGATTATTTTGTTTAATATTCTATATTTTATTTATATTAGGCAAACTTTCGTACAAATTTTTGCCAAATTATTCAATTTTATTTATTTTATGTGTTTTCTTTCAGTTAGCTCGGGTTTCTCTACTGATATTTGTTAATTGAAGTCGACTGTATTAACAAAGCACCTGCGACGCGCGCGCGCAACTTGCACAAACTTGTCGAACGCTGTTGCTATTACCGTTGTTTTCGTTGCTCTGCCACTGCGGTGTTGCGTCTGCGCTGCGGCGATGTGTGACGACACGCAACTTGCAACGATTTCTTTTCTGTGTGTTTGTTGTTCTTGCTGTTGCCGTGGCTGCCAATGCTGTTTGCAATGCGTGCCACCAACAGAACAAAAAAGGTAACAAGTAACAAAAAAAACAAAACAAAGTGCGCGAAATAAAACCGAAAACCGAAATGAAAACAAAAAACAACCGCGACAGATCGCGCACGTCCGATTTAGAAATTGCGATCGGTATGACTGTTTATTTTCAAAATGATAGATATGGTGATCTTTAGTTTGCCTTAATACCGATTGTGCGATCTGGTCACTCTTAATTCCTAAGCTGTTATTTAACATTTGACAACTTACACGTCAGGATAACCGTTTTACACGGTTACAGGTACATACATGGGGTCGATTTCACATTATCGGGGTTGAACTCTCATACATGAGGTAGAATTCTCATGTAGAATGTAGAATTTGTATCATATCCTCTCTGCTCGGATGGATGTTAATTAACAGAGATCTCTCTTGGGTGCTGTCGGGTGTCAGGTCGTTGTTTGATTGTTAAAAATACATTAATATTGCAATATACGATAGTTTTTTATTGGTATTCTCACCCCAAATTACGAAGCTGTTATTTAACATTTTACATCTAACAAATCTATGAAACAATTTTACACGTTTACAGATAAATGGAGAAGATTCTCGCTTTTGGAGCTGAATTCCCTTGTAGGAAGTAAAATGCAATAACAGATATTCTCCCCTACAGAAAAAAGAGCGTAAATTTGTTATTTATTTTTAACTCAAAATTATATATTGCTTATTTTTTACGCCGATTAATGTACCAACGAACGTTTATGAATCGAGGCTGCCACATAGTCTAATAAAAATATCGATTTATCGATGGTGAAATATATTTGCTAGACGATATGGCAGCACTGCTATCAGCTGTTTTAAAATTTGTATCGCCAAAACATTGATATCTTGTTTCAAAAACAAGTGTTAGCATAAAAAAGCAAATATTTCGTGCCGCAATCTATGAGCCTGCTGAGCTGGCAACGCATAGCTTCCCCGAGGGCCCTTTGCCGGCTTCTACCGCCCTTGACCACACATAGAACCAAGCTCAAACCAAGGGCATTTCCCCAGAACCAGCTGACACAGCGCTTTTACGCCGGCAACAAGAAAATGGTCAAGTATCTGAGCCAGAGCGAGGCCATCAATGTGGACCAGGAGCTCTTCACGACCTACAAATTCAGCGTGGACCAGCTAATGGAGCTGGCCGGCCTGAGCTGTGCCCATGCGGTGGCCAAGTGCTTTCCCCCGGAGAGCCATTCGCGGGTCCTCGTCTGTTGTGGTCCGGGGAATAATGGAGGCGACGGCCTGGTCTGTGCCCGCCACCTCTCCCTGATGGGTTATACACCTGTTATCTACTACCCAAAGCCAACGCCGAAGCCCTTGTACGAGGCCTTGAGTCACCAGTGCCAAATGATGGAGATCTGTGCGGTTAATGAGTGTCCTAGCGTTGAGGAGGCCGCCGGCCAGTACGATCTCATTGTGGATGCTCTGTTTGGGTTTAGCTTCAAGCCACCCGTTCGGGCTGACTTTGTGGCCGTTGTGGAGTTAATGCAGCAGACGAAGCTTCCAATAGCCAGGTGGGAGAGGGAGTCGGAGGAGAGAAACGAATTACTAAGTTAATATTTTCTCTTTTAGCGTGGACATACCCAGCGGCTGGGACGTGGAGAAGGGCCGCGTGGGTGAGTGCGACCTGGAGCCGGCTCTGCTCATTTCTTTAACTGCTCCCAAGCTCTGTGCCCGTCACTTCCGGGGGGAGCATCACTACCTGGGCGGTAGATTTGTGCCGCCAGCTTTGCAGCGGAAATACGAACTGAATCTGCCCGTCTACCCCGGCAACGAACTGTGCGTCAAACTGTGATTCACTGGGAATAAAACGATAACTTTTTTTCTCTTTTATTTCGCATATATATTAATGCATATATATATATTATTACATGTTATATCCCATAAAATATCTATTTGTACAAACGATTGTAGTTCTTGCGCCTGCGATCCTCCTCAAAGTTGTTGTTCCTGGCCCATTCCTTGAGGTTGCCCTTGGAGCGCAGCATGGCCGACTTGGAGTCCACGTCGCGCAGCACAAAAGGCGAGAAGCCGGCAGTGTAGTCCTCATTCAGAGCGTTCGTCTTGGTCTTGGCCACACGCGATGGCATTTGTCGGGGCATTGGCTGATCCTCAAAGAGAATGGGATTCCGTGAATGCTTGCCACCCTGGAAACGCGGCAGGCTCTGGTTCTTGTATTTGTTGGTCAGCGGCCTTCGCGTGTTGATGTGTATCACCTGGCGACCGTTCTCGTCCAGGCTGACGGCCACACGCTTCAGTGTCTTGTTGCCGCAATTGGGACAGAAGACCTTGGTCATAATGCTGGTGGTCTTGTAGCAGGCGTAGCAGCGAAGGATATATGTGCGCAGCTGCTTGATAATCCGGCCGTTGAGAGCGGCCAAATGGAGATTGAGCTGCTTGAGGACGTTCTGCAGGGCGTAATCCGTGGTCATGCAGGCCACGGGTGGCACTTCATCGGTCTCCACCTTCCCCTCCAGCGCTTTCTTGGCCTTTTTGATGTTGGAGTGTGTGATCCAGCCATCGTCACCCACATCATCCTCTGCCTGTGGACTTTTTTCCTCTTCCTCGGGCTCTTCGTCTTCTTCCGCCTGCGGCTGTGATACCAGCAACTGCGAGAGCTCCTTCTCTTCCTCGGCGCTGGGTGCGCACTTAAGCTGCTCGAATAGCTTGTCCAGCTCTTCCTGTGATGGCTCATCCTCCTCAGGCTGACTGCTCTGCAGTAACTGGCTGGCCGGGGCTTCCTTGCCCGCCAACTGGGCTTCAATGGCGGCTTTCACGTTGTCCACAGCTGGGGTTTCCTCTTCCTCCTGCTCTGCTTTCTCCTCAACAGCCTCATCTTCCTCCTCGGAAGCCTCCTCCTCTCCCTCCTCGTCCTCTTCCTCATCGGACTCTTCCTCACCTCGGGCATATACCAGCCCACCAAACGCTTATTGCTCGCATCCACCATCTCGGCGGGTTTCTCCTTGGAGGCGATAGTCTGTGCCATTATCGGCTCAGTTCGCAGATGGGCAGTGCCCACGGTGTCTGCCTCCAGCTCGTAGGTGAGCGAGATGACTTTCAGATCGATGCCCGAGAGACTGGCGTAGTCACCGGTCCGCTTGGCGAACTCCACGCAATGCTTGACGCTCTCTGGACGCGGCTCCCGCACCTGCAGGTCGAAGGGTAGGACGCAGAGGCGTCGGATCTGTCGCCTGTTGCGCACCTCGGCCACAACGTCGGGCACTGTGAGCACCTGCTCGGCATATTCCTAAAAGCGCATTAGATTCGTTAGTGGAGGATTCGTTAGTGGAGTTGCAACTGAAGTTGATCTGAGGCACACTCACGTTCAGGGGCACGGCGTTGATGAAGGCTGTGGTGTCCGCCACCAGGAACTTAATCTTTCTGCTCGGCTCCGCCATTCTGTTGGAAAATTCTCACATGAAAAACAAGGAAAAGCAAAACAAAACTTCGCAAGCAGCACGTGTCGGTGTGATAAGTGTGACCGTGCGAGCACAAATCAAAATGCCGCCTTTTATTCCATTTTCATTTTTAATTATTTTATTTATTATTTATTTATTGCGTCGGTTCGGAAGTTGGCAAGCAACTTGATATAAGTTTTGAAAATAAATCAATTATACAAATTATAATTCAATTCAAAGTAATATAAATCTAAACAAGTAACCTCTGACTTTCCATTCAATCACAGGGATTTGTACAGCTTATTTTATTTTCCATTCACTTTAAATCGGTTCTTCAATAAAAACATTATCTTTGTTTGTTTATTATATTATTATTATTAATATTATTATTATTATTATTATTATATAACGCCCTCTGCGAAGAGGTAAGTGGATAAAATATTTAAATATCATATCAAAAATGTTGTAAACTTGAAATATTCGAAAATATCGTATTTAAATTTTTAATATCAATTTTATAGTTAATAAAAGGAAATATTTAAAAAATATTGAAAGCAGAGGTCCGGACAGAGGTTTGGACAAAACCTATAGCGTTCAATATCATATAACAAATATTTTGTCGTTCTGAGGAAGTCCCCTTTATGAAATAAAATAAAATATTCATTTAATTGTCCAAGCAGAAGTGTTTGGCCAGACGCCTCAATATATAATATAATATAACTAATTATTAAAGACTAATTATTTGCCTATTTAATGTATTTCCTTATTTATATTTCAGCCATTCATATAGTCCATAAATATTGCGAAAAGTTAACGTACGAAGTTGTATCTCTTTTAGATTTACAATATCAATATAATAGTTAATATAAAAAAATATTTAAAATATATTGAGAGCAGAAGTCCGAAACGATATTTGGATGAAACCTATAGCGTTCAATATATATATTACAAATATTTGGTCGTACACTTGTATAGTGAATCTCATAAAGAAATCCGTTTTATTAAATAAAGTAAAACATTCATTTAATTATCCAGGCAGAAGTATTTGCCCAGACGCCTCATAAAATAATAAAATATAACAAATTTTTAGCATATTTTCCTGGTTTAGTTTCTCTTTATCGATATTTGTGCCATCGATATAATCCATAAGTATCGCGAAAAGTTTGCTGACCATGTTGCATGAAATCTTTCATTATGATCAGTGATCAGCAGAATTAACGATAGAAATGTATCACTGATTAATGATCATGTTGCTCTGCTGAAGTCAACAATTCATGTTTGCAATTATTTTACTCAATATCGATATATCGATAGTGCGTGGCCACAATAGATACAAGCGATGTTTTGATATCGCTGGTTTCCCACCTCTGCCAGTAATGTCAAAAGCAAATTTATTTTTTCATCTCGCCCAGATTTTGTGAACTGTGATTTTGTGATAAGTGCACAATTTAGGTGAGTGTTTCGCCGGAAATTTGGGAAATCGTCCGACGATTCACCCTGCAAGGTAGTTGAGAATCCGCCGAGAAACCAACCGCGAAAAATGTGGAACCAATGGCAGGCGGCCACCGCCAGCGGGGTGCCGATGATGGCTGCTGTGCCGCCGCAGCCGTCCCAGCCGCCACCGCTGCCCGATGCACCGCCACCGCCGCCGCCGGCCTCCGATACGAGCGCTGGGGCCGCGGGAGCACCCACCGTTGCCGGCGATGCGACATCAGCGGTTGCTGCCGCCATCGCCGCTCCCCCGGCCACCGTGGCTGCGGCAGCTGCTGTCAACCCTTACAGCAGCGGTTTGGCGGCAGCGGGCGGTGCGGGCAACCCCTACGAGCAATACACAGCAGCCCAATATGCCGCAATGACGCCGGAACAGCAGTATGCGCTGCAGCACCACTGGCACCAGTGGCAGACCTACCAGGCGGAATACGCCAAGTGGCATGCCCAATACGGCGAGCAGGTTAGTGACCTAATCCCCTAATCCCCGCGTGAAATGCCCCATTAACCCAATTCAATTACCATTCACAGTACAAGCGGGAAATGGCAGCTGCTGCGGCCGCCAGTGCCACCTCGCCAACGGCTCAGGTGGCCCAGGTTGCAGCTCCTGTTGCAGCTCCCGTTGTAGCTCCCGTTGCAGCTCCAGTTGTGGTCGCCCCCACGCCTGTGGTGGTTGCTCCCGGTCCGCAGGCATATCCACAGCCCCACACCTATTACCAAACTATGCCCGCTACCCCGGCACCGGTCGCTCCTGTTGGTGCGCCGCCGATACCTGGCAAGATCATGGCTCAGCCGCAATTGTATAGCCAGCCACCGCCGCCGCCCCCACAAAAGGCCGGTTACAATCAGCAGAATCCCAATCAGATGAATCCGGGCGCATGGTCAGGGCCACCACCAATGGTGCATCCACCGATGTCCCAGCAGCCGCCGCCGCAGCAGCAGCAGCAACAGCAACCACCCCCCCAGAATTGGGGTAATCAAATGAATTACAGTCAGTCAGGACAGCCGCCAGACCAGCCGATGGGCTTTCCCAATCTTCAGCAGCCGCCGCCTTCTCTACAGAGACCACCACCTCAACACCAGTACCAGCAGCAACAGCAGCAACAACAAAACTCGATGGATAAGCAATGGGGCAATAACAGGCCACCATGGGAAACTGGTCCACCGTCGAATAACTCGAATCAAGGGCGCTGGGATGGCCCACCACCGCAGAATGATATGAATAACCGCTGGAGCGGACCTCCGCCTCCAGCTGCTAACAACGATCGGCGCTGGGATGGACCGCCACCGCACTTATCCAGCGGCGGGGATCAGAACCGATGGATGGGGGGCAATCCAAATGAGATTCAGAATCAGAATCACGACCGCCGTTGGGAGGGACCGCCACCGAATATAAATGAACAGCAGCAGGGCCACAACCAGAATAAGAACCTTAATCAGAATTCTAATCAAAATCAGCGTCAGAATCGCTGGCCGAACAGCAACGATCAAGAAGAAATGGAGGAATCACGCAAACTTCAGAATGATTACCAAAACAACAGGAAAAACTGGGGACCCGATGGCGGTATCGGAGGAGGAGGAGGAGGAGGAGATTCAAAGCCTGGAAACCCCAACCAAAATCCATTTTTCAAAAATTCTCAAACCGATTTTGGTTCAGACTCTTTGCCATCAAGCGGCAGTAACAATAATAATAATAACAACAGCGGCAACAATTTTGGGCCGCGTCCGGGAAACTATCCAGGCGGCTATGGAAATAATTACAGCCAGGATCAGAGCGGCTATGGAGCTGGTAATCAGGGAAGAGGCGGTAATCGCGATAGTTTTGGTGGCCGTGGAGGAGGAGGAGTAGGACCTGGTTCAATGGATAATAACTTTGGCAACAACAACAACAATAGCTTCCCCAACAATCGTCGTCCGAGCAACAATAATCGTTGGGAGAACAATAATCGCAACCAGAATCAGAATCAAAATCAGGGTTATCCAGATGAGCGTGGACCAGGAGGTGGTGACGGAGGTCCACCAGGAAATTACCATCAGAATCGTGGTAACTATAACCAGCGTGGAGGTCCAAATCAACAGCAATTCCCGCAAAATCGCAACCAGCAACCACAGCAAAACGATCTGGATGAGGCCAGTTTTGATCGATTGTTTGATCAGTGGGAAAAGCAGTTCGAGGACTGGAAACGCGCCAATGCCAATCACCCGGATCGCGATGAGTATCGACGCTACGAGGAGGAATTCGAAAAGCAGCGTCGTCGCATTGCCGAGCGCAGGGAGCAGATGCGACGTCGTCGACTGCAGCAGGGTGGAGCCACAGGATCGACATCGGGCGGATCCGCTTCGGGTACGCCGCAGCAAGAGAGTACAGGATCAGATCTAGGACTCGGTGCCGAAGAGCAGAAATCAAAGGAGGAACAAGGACCGCCGCCGCCGTCCACTTTTGGCTCCGGACGCACGAGCCGTTTTAGCAATGCAAACAGTGACTTTGAAAGAGTAGGAGGAGGCGGACCACCACCACCTGATTTCCGAGGTAATAAGGGGCCACCGGGTATACCCCTTTTGAAGCCATTTCAGGCAGATTCAAAAGATAAGCCGCCACCAGATTTCCGAGGACCACAAGAACCACCACCGAAATCCTTAAACGCAGAGACAGAGTCAAAAGACAAGCCTGCACCGGAAAAGAATCAATCCGCTTCTTCGATTCCAAATCCTCCGACTCCGGCGACTTCAAATATTACTGCCGCCCCGCCAGTGACTTCCCAAGTTCCCGCTCCGCCAGTGGCGCCTACACCCGTAACCACCAATCTTGGCAAGCGTCGCCAGGCAGGTGGAACCGCTGATGTTACACCCGCAAAGCAAATCAAAGAGGTTGTACCGATATATACCATTTCCCTGGATGACGATGACGACGACGACGATGTTGTCAATGAAAAACCATCGACATCTGACACACCGATGGGCAGCATTTTCAAGAAGAGTGACGGCATCCCAGGCCTCGATTTGGTGGACGATGGCGGCAGCAACAAGAACTCAACTTCGTTGTTCAATAATGATGGTGACCAGCCGGCGGCCGGAGCAACCGAATCCGAAGCGAAAGCCAATCAGAGCAATGAGTCCCTTAGCAAGGCCCTCAAAGATCCAGCATTTCTCAATAATCTTACCCAGGCTGTGGCCAATGTGCAGCAGCGCGATCGCCAGGATGTGGAGAACCAACAGCAGCAGCAGCAGCAGCAGCAGCAATCAAAGTCGGAGCCTGATGAGGACGGGCGGCCCCTGTCCTTTGCCGAGTGGCAGCGCAAGAAGAACAACAACGGAAATGACACTAAAGTGCCGGATTCGCGCGACTCGAATAATAGTCCTAATATCAATGAAAGGAATGACAGACAGGGAGGCCCAAACCCTGGCTTTGGACCAGGTTCGGGCAATGCACCAGGCGGAGGACCTGGTCCTGGTCCCCGTTTTGGACCCAACATGGGACCCAATCAATTACCAGGCAACAACTTTGTCGATTATGATGGCCACGGCGGTCCTGGCGGTCCCAATGGTGGCTTTGGACCTGGTGGTCGCAACTTTGGACCCGGACCGCGTCCTCCCTTCGGCATGGGACCGGGTGGACCGAACTTTGGACCCAATGGCCCTGGCCCTGGCCCCGGCCCCGGGCCGGGACCGCACTTTGGCCCGGGACCCAATTTCCGCCACAACCGACCCAATTTCGGACCCAACTTTGGGCCGAACTTTGGACCCGGAGGTCCCGGAGGTCCACGCAACTTTGGACCACGAGGACCTGTCGGCGCTCCATTCGGACCTAGACGCGATGACTTTGGTGGTCCGCCATTTGGAGGCGGACCTGGACCCAACTTTGGCCCTGGTCCCAACGGACCCCCTATGAGGGGATTCAATGGAGGAGATGGCGGCAGCAGCAGTGATAATCCGTTCCGGCGACAGAGTGGACCACCGCCACCTAATTTCAACGACGAGGATGGTCCGCCAAGGGGACCGAGGAACTTCCCGAACCGCAACAGTTTCGGTGGGAATCAGGGATCGAACAACAATCGAAAGAACTGGAATGACGGGTATGTGTAATAATTTCTTGGTTCTCTTTATTTTAATCATTAACACTTCTTTTTGTCAAACGTTAAAATTATAAATTATATAAAGGATAAAATAACCAACAGAAAAAGGGGAAAAGGGGGAAGCGTAAAGCGTTTTATCCTGCTCATCAAAATTTAAATATTTACCGAAAGCCATTGCTTCTGTCGTCTGATTGCATCATATTGATTTTAGATTTATATCTTGGATATTTTAAATCCAAATTAACTTTGAACAATTCAACTGCATTTTCCGAACCTCTCTGAGTGTTATTTATCTATATACAAATATATAGGTTATATGTAATGCTAATAGTTTTATATATGCACGTACTAGGGATTTATAAATCGACAAAAATATCACGCTTATCATATCAAAAGTATAATAAACTTAAATATATCGATAAAATAGCCTAGAACTTTTAGTTATTTTTGTTATTATTCCGATTGAATTGGTCCGATATATAAAACAGAATATTGAGTTATTGCACAGAAATTAAATCCTTCGATATCAGAAATGTAGAAATTTAAAATAAATTAAAATATTGCATTTAAGGTTAAAATATTGAACAACAAATAATCGAAAAATGTTACTTTTTCCGATTGTATGGTCCGATATATTAAACAGAATATCGATTTTTGGCACATATACCGATAACAGATTAGTACATTTAAATATTTTCTTAAATTTATTTTCAACATTTAATAGTTTAAATAAAGTTTAAGGGTTTAGTAGACACATTTTGCTGTATCAAATAGGGAAAATAGATTTATCTTACATATATCAAAATGTAATAAATATCGTTTTATATATCGGCCTTGATAAATGGATATTTTCTGTCATTCCTAGTGCGTATCCATGGGTAGAAATTATTTGTGGGAAGATTCTACTTTTTTTTGGGGGAGGGGGAGATAAAAACCGAAATGTGGGAATATTATTGTTATAATTTTGATAATATATAATCAATTGAGAGCTAATTAAAATGCAGGCAAAGCATTGATAATGAACCACAATTAGTTTGAATAACTTAGCTTCGTTCGATATTTGAAATTATATTGTCTGTATAGAGTTTTTTTTTTACTAAAACCCAGTAACCCCGTGAAAATTTGAAAAATCTTTGTATATTCCGTTCATTATAATCCCCCCTTTCCCAAAACCCCAAAACACCCTCTCTCTTTGTCCTTATCTCTTTCTCTTTCTATAATTCTCTGCATCTGATATATATAAAATCATCAAATTTTAATGTAGTTAACTTGAGCAGGCGATGTTTTTTCTAGTTATCGTTAATGCTGGAATTTCGATTCCAACCCCATTTTCTCTTCTTCTCTTCTACTTCTATGCAAAAATATACTGATAAACAAAAAACAAAAAACCTAACGAAAAAATCAACATAAAATCGAAATATATGCATATGTCTATATATATATTTCGGACCATATATGTATCTCTGTGTTGTCTGAGCAGAAAGAACAGGGGCGGTAGATTCAACCAGCAGCATCAGCAGTCGCAGCACAAGATTTGAGATCTGATTTCTTCAGTCTGTTGGAGTCTGTGAGATTTGAGATCTGCATGGGAGCTAGATTACGTTGAGAGGAATTTCGCAGAACGTAATCCCTTGCTCCCAAAGATCAGATCATCTGACAGATTGCCCAGATCCAGCTGTGTCAGAATAAGAACTATCATACAATACGTATATTTAAGGATACAACAACACACAACACACACACATTAAACACACACACCACGTCAACCAACGATAACATGAAGTACAGACACCAATTGGCTGCTCGAAATTTAAAGCTAAATAGCATTATTAATTATGTTTAATACAATTTAGATCAGAATGGATGGATCACCCGTTCCGTTTTTTTCCTTTGAGTTTGTTATTGAAAGTCAAACAACATGCAACATCCATCACACAATTTAACACTCTACAGTCTTAGTGGATACTGTACTTCTTTTATATAGAACGAAAGTTATATAAGTCGTATATGTTACATATATATGCCCTTAAATGAATATTAATAAAGGAAGATAAAACAAACTCACTATTATTGGGGGAATTATGTGAAGGAAACCCAAAGAGAACTAAAGTATGGTCCGATAAACTTGCTATGTCAGTCTGTTTTTATATTCAATATCCAGTTCATTATTCCTACTTATATTTCCGATCGGTAAATATGGCAAATATATATTCTAATATATATATATATATTCTAGTTTTTAAATGAAACAAAGAATGGTACAAGCTTTTAGCTCGGGTTGTATTTATAAATATGTATAATTTAAGAAACACACTTGATTGATTTAAAACTTAATATTTAAACGTTGGAAAAATTGAAGATCAATATATTATATAATTTTGATTTAATGGCTAACTCTTGAGGCACCATTATAGGTGTAAGATTATAGAATAATCTAATAAAATTATGAATTCAATTTTAATAAATAAAAGGGGAAAAACAAAGAACTTAGTCAGTTAAATATAAGTACTGATAAGGTTTATTGATTGGAAACTGTATGATGAAAAAGATCTATAAGTTATCACTCAAGAAATGTTATTGGTATTTATCTAACTGACTGACGCAATTTATCGATATGTATTCAGGTCATCCGTCCGATAACAAATCTATTTTCAAATCAACCGAATTTAATTATTCAAACCCATGCAAATATTGAGGTATCGCGTCCGTACAATTTCCGTTGTCCAAACTCTGAAGTATCCACAATATCCATTTTCACAGTATCCAGAGGTTTCAAAAGAGAAGGTATCTCAGATCTTATTAAGTATGTATATATATTCTGTCCGTCTGTTTGGATTACCAAGATCTAAAGCAACTTTTTTGGTTGAGGAAACCATTTATGCACGACCCTATTCCGTGGTTTCGTATGATCAACACCGAAAATAATAGTCAGCACTTTCACATGATCTTTTAATTAATTAAATGTAGACTTTTTAAGCTGACTTAAAAAGTGTTTTGGGGATTTATAGTATATCATTCATAATAGTTTCAGTTTAAATGTATTCAATATGCAAAATCTAAATATAATCGCATTAAATTTCTATGAATACTCCTTAGAATGTGGTGGGAACTTGCTATTTATAAATAATTCAGTGGGCCTTATACTAAGTCTAGGACCTATTTCATATGTATATTTAAATAAATATATATATGAGAAAGGTTTGTTTTGGGACTATAGTTTAATGACCGCCCTGCCTTATTCCCCATCAAAAACAAACATTATTTTTGTAGTAAATTTCAATCCAAGTAAAAGTTCAAGTGTTTTTCTTTTGGTTTAAAAAAAAATATATATGAAAAAAAAAACGTTGAAACTCTAAAAACGAAATACCAAATAATGAATAAACTAAAATAATAAACCAAAAATATAAAAACAAATAAAATCAAAATAATACTAAAACAAAAACAAAATGTAATGTAATAATTAAAAACCAACAATCATCGAATAAATTGTATACAAAATGTGCTACAAATCATTAACCACAAACCTAAAACCAACCTCCCAATCATCAAATCCAACAAAAAAAAAAACAAAAAAATCCACGATGAAATCAAAGGCTGGAGGAGCAACAGAAACCATATCCTGGCGGAAGTGGCGGCCACATTGATCCCGTTTACCGTCCCTGAAGGTCTTTGATTATTCAAATGCAAGCCAATTGACGTCCGCCAAGGTGATTGACTATGGCCACAAGTCGGCAGATGGCATAGGTTCTGGTCTCGGTTCCGGTGCAGGTTCCAGCTCCGGTCTCGGTCCTGAACCCGGTTTCGGTCCTGCTCCGGGTCCAATACATAACCGTCCAGATCCTACCCTGGGAATGCCCGAATTCCGACCCATGCAGACCTTTGAATATGGCCACGCTCCCAGAATGGGAATAACAGGCATAGGAGGTGATAAGGGAGCAGGAATCCAAGGAATGGGAGGAGGAACGATGGGAGTAAAGGACGGAGGAGGCGGAGGAGTTGGAGGACGAGGAGGAGGATTCAATAGCAAGCGTAAAATAAAAGACAGATGAAGCAGCGAATTAGGGAAGAACGCTTGAAGTTTCAGCAAAATCGTCAGCATGAATCGATTTCTAATGATGAGAAGACTAAAAATGAGGTAAGTAATGGTAACCAAAAAAGGAAAAATTAATATAAAACCGATTACAAAACTCCCCAGCAGCGAATACAGGAAAACGAACAGGATCAGGAGAATGACAAACTGCAGCAACAGTACTTAGACGATGGCAATGGTCCGCCATGTGGCGATGATGATCTCGAGGATATTTCGGATGGTGAAGAGTAAGTTGCCTTTGCAAAGACTCAACCCCATCACAATTAATGTCCTAACCCCTGTATTTCTAGTAATCTAACCGCAGCTGATGGCAACGACGGAGATGGAGATGAAGAGTCAGTGCCATCGCCGCCGTCTATGATGAACAATAAATGGAATACAATGCGAAACTCACCACCGCCGCCGCAATCACTTTTCCCCTCGGCAGCTACGGCCAATCAAAATATACCCCAGACATCAGCGGCTCCACACCTAGAGATGTGCTGTGGACCAACGAATGAGAATCGCAACACGATCTCTGTGGATGAGGTGCTATTGCCACCTGGCCGTTTAACCCGTCCGAAACGTATTTGCATTATACTTCGAGGTCCACCAGGATGCGGTAAATCGCATGTGGCGCGCCTGATCAAGGACAAGGAGATAGAGATGGGCGGTGCCAATCCGCGTATTCTCAGCATTGATGATTACTTTATCATTGAGAATGATTACACAGAGAAGTGTCCCAAGACGGGCAAGACGGTGATTTACTATCAATATTTGTAATTATTTAATTTATTCATTTGTAAAATTATTTCCTGCCTGTAGATTCCCAAAAAGGAGCTGTTGTACGAGTACGAAGACACCATGGAAGAGACCTACATGCAATATCTAATTAAATCTTACAAAAAGACGCTTAGCGATAATCTATACGATTTCATAATTGTTGACTGTAACAATAACTCACTGAGGACACTCAATGAGTTCTATTGTCACGCCAAGGACTCCAACTTTGTGGTGGGTTTCATTTTGAATATATATAGGAATATAGAATACATACATTTTCTTTACGCTCTCTTTAGCCCTACATTGTGGATCTACACTGCGACCTGGAGACATGCCTGGGACGAAATTCGCATAAGCGCAGTGAGAGTGAGATTCAAATCGTGCTGGACAACTGGTGTGAAACGCCGCTGCACTACATCAAGCTGGATGTGAGCACGTTGCTGGAGAACGTGGTCGAGATGGAAGATGTTGAGAATATGGCAACGGTAACTATGAACTAAGGCGACGACGGCGGCAACGATGCGATGCGATTCAAGGGGATGTGCGGGTTGTGTGGAGCACGAGCCATGGGGCTTTTGGTCTGGCCAGTTGGGTCAAAATTCCCTTTTGCTGGTCAGTCCGATGGCCGTGCTCTTAAACACCGAAAACTCTAGTCATGTCTAATGTATAAGCAAAACAAAGCAACGAACAAACAAAACCCAAGAATCTGACCAGAACGCGTCCCAAATTATCTTAATAGATTAAAGAAATTCATACCAAAGGCCTAGACTAAGTTTTTCTCTCAAATCTTTAATTTTCAAGCAAAATATTATATATAAAATATATTTATATATGAACATTATAGTCTTCTTAGTCTCTAAGAATCACTCTCTACGCTCCTACGATTAAGATCTTTCTCGCTCTTAGTAAAGGCAACTAATTTGCACACTGCTGTTGAAGCGAACAATTTTGTTGATTTATGGCGGCTTCATCTCAATTGCAGGACGATAATGCCACCGCGGATGGAGGAACAGGTGCCACAGTCTCTGATGTTGCCACTGTCGAGGAGACAGATGATAGCAACAGTGCCGATGCCGATGCCTCTAACGATGTAAGTAAGCCCCTTAAAATGCAGTCGACTGATTGGATTCACTTTTAAGATTTATAAAAGTATAGTACTCTAGTGCAGGGATATTGTTTTTAGATCAGCATATATGTTTTATATAGTAAAAGTACTAGTGGTTAAAGTTAAATACTTGAATTTACCGGGCCTGGAACTAGAACAAGATAGATGTTGAAGAGTTTGTAATTTTTAGCAAATATATTATTTTTATTTAGTTTAATAGGAACTTTCCAAGTCATAGCTAGTTATATTTAGTTAGATAATCTACACATATTCCAAAAACTATATAAATATATATACATACATATTAAGAATTAAAGTATAAGAGTGCTTAACCCCAAATCGATTCAATCCAGTCAGTCGTTAGATACTGTATTTTCTTTGTGTGTTCTATGGGCTTTAGAGGCTCGAGATATAAAGGCAATTATGAATGGTATTGGAATATACACCTCTAAAAGATTTCCCCTTGAAATTCTCCAATTTATTGCATTTCAATTAAATTCCCCGGCTTACAAATCCTTGCGTTTCGTGCGCGGTGCAGTGCGGCTTCCTGAAAAGCAAGTGGGAATGTGACAACACTGAGGACAATCTAGGTAAGTCCGCAACATGACAAACTCTTGATCCCTAGCTCCCAATATCTGATTCTTATCTATTATCTTTCTTTTTTAGCCCGCTTGGATGGCACCAAGCGTCTCATGCAGAACCGAAAGCATGCCAGCATGGCCGATTATCTCCAACTGGAGGATGAATGGCAGCCACCCATAACCACCAGTGACGGCAAGAAGCGGGTGAGTGAGCGTGTAAGGTTTGCTTACACTTTAAAGTATATATCGGGCATGGAAAAGAAAGAGATGCCCAGTTACCTGGCCCAGGTGTATGTATATCCATCTCAGTTGTTTCCAAGAGACAGAGATCAAGGATAGGAAGAGCAGATATTATCAATTTATCGGGTTTATATCGATATCGAAATTCCATGTGCACAAACATGTTTTACCATTGCGATATATGCTTAATAAATCGGTATTTTCTTCATTTAATCGGTTTAAAGTAATCAAAAAAGAAAAAAAATACTTTAAATTACATATTTCGGATGTTTAAATATTAAAAAGGTTTGAATATATAAAATGATATTTTTAAAATGATTTTGATCGCAATATCTGTCGAAACAGCATATCAGTCTTTTCCCCTCGATATATATCTCTAATTTGGGCTTAACCGATTTAAACATTGAACAAGAAACCAAAAGTGTATCTTTCTCTGATTTCTTCTGAGTAAAGTTTAGCAATGAAACATATTTATTTAACATTTCAGGTGCGTTGGGCGGACATCGAGGAGAAGCGGTCGCAGGAGAAGATGCGCGCCATTGGTTTCGTGGTGGGCCAGACCGATTGGAATCGTATGATGGACCCAAATGCGGGTAGTCGAGCCCTGAACAAGACCAAGTACATTGAGCGCGTCCAAAAGCGTCGCTAATTATAGCCACGCAAGCTGGCACGCAACCTGAATCAAACTGAAACCATTACCATTACCAATAAACCATTTCCAGTGGGGATCGATCCCCACCCTGAACCCATCATAGGCTCAAAGACCCCTTCCTCTCCTTCCCCCACTAGACAGACATTAGGTTTAATCATCCATTATCTAGAACAGCATTTGATCAGTATAATTTCGCAAACATCAATTATTTTGTAGAGCTGCATTTACCGCGCACGATATCATCAATTTGAAAAGGGGAACCCATTCACTAGCTTAATAGAATAAAGGTATATTATATACCAGGAATGAGTTACGATTACATGGAGGGCATGTATTTTTAAATGTAAATTTTATCCATTTAATTATACAAATATATAAATTTTACATATACATATATTTTTTTTGCTATATATGACGAAATATAAATGTGAGATTAACAGGAAAATAATAATGTTTACTTAAAGTTGGAGCAAGGGTTCATTGAACCCGGTGCTCTCCTCCCTTTTCTAACCAGCTGTAAACAACCATTGACAGCTGTTCGCGATGGACCAAAAAAGGAGAGAAGTATAAGGATGGGGATGCTGTGTGTGTGTGTGTGCATCACTCGCATATTTGCCAAGGTGAACTACAGATGACAGCTTCAGGCAGAGTTGCACAACACGGCGTATGAAGTATGTGCATGTAAGTGTGCTTGTGTACGAGGTGGTGCAGGCGTTGGAGGAGTTGAAGCAGCAGCAGAATTGGAGGGCAAGTGGCACCAGCAGTCACCAATATAGTTCGCACCTCTCTCGTACTCTCGTACACCCAGACCATTGACAGTCAGTGATGTCAGCTGAATTTAGCTGAAATTTATTGAAATATATTGCTTCGTTTTAATAGTTTCTTTTATTTCTATTATATTTAAAACATACATTTTCTGCTTCAGTACTTTACTTTGCAGTTTTTATTTAAAATGGTTTAATTTTTTACATTTTGCAATTTTAATTTTTTAATAGTCCCTTTTATTTTCATTATACTTAAAACACAAATTTTCAGTTTCAATACTTTACTTCAAAGTGTTTATTTCAAATGGTTTATTTTTTCAAAGGTTAAAATGTTTAATTTTTTAAATAGTCTCTTTTATTTCCGTTATACTTAAAACATAAATTTTCAGTTTCAATACTTTACTTTGAAGTTTTTATTTAAAATTGTTAATTCATTTTAATTTTAAAACAGGAATTTACTGTCTTATTATTGTACTTTATTTAAAAGGGTATATTTATATAAGTCTTACAACTATTATTTACTGTTTTAATATGGTAGTGTGAAGTTTTCCAAAAAAAACCCTAATATTTTTATATAATGAAACAAAATTCAATAGTTTAGTTTTTTTTTTCGTGGCTATTAATTTCACGTTTTCTTTAAGTCTTTTCTGAAAATAGTTTTGAAATATAAAGTTTCTCTGGTAAGTAAGCAAAAAAAATTAAATAAAGGAAGCAAACAAATAGTTCCTTCCGGAAAAGGAAACCCAACCATGATTTAGCTTGTTCCGTTTCCGTTGCTGCTGATTCTGGCGTTTATCTAGCCAGATCTGTCAACACTGCTTGCTTCCGCTGTGCTGCTTGTCGCTCTGCTTGCTGCGATGCTTTTTGGGGGCTTCCACTGCTTGGGCTGCCTTCAGTCAAGCAACGCAACTCGAACGCAACGGTACACGAACGGACACGTCGCGTGCAAACACACACTCAGCACACTGGCAGGACAACAACAGAATGTGTCCCGATAACAGAGCCCAAACAAACACCAAATTGCAGTTCAATTTAATTAAATGAAACACACATTTTTTTCGAGTTTAGCGTTGACTCAAAGTGGCAACAACTCCCTTCTTCCACAACAATAACAACAAATAAACAATAAAGAAGCAGTGCAAAAAGTACCGAAAGTCAGCAGCCGCATTTTGAAGTTACGTCAAAAGGAGTCGAGAAGAAGGGAGAGAGAGAGAGCCGAATAAGCAAACAACAACACCAACAACAACAGCAACTAGAGCAGAGCACGCGATAAACGAATCACGAGCAACTGTAAATGCGAAAGGAGAAAGCAGACGCAGAAAAGGAAGCAGTGAAGGGAATTTGTTTTTGGCGCGTCGTCGCCGTTAGCTTTTGTTTTTGTTTTTCCGTTTCTGTTGTTTTTGTTTTTGTTCCTGTTTTTCTTTGTTGATTGCTTTGCAGCCGGCGAAGGGTGCCAAAGCGGAGACTGATAAAGCGCGTAGGCGGCGCAGGCGAAGGAGGCGGAGCAGCGAGCAGGGCGAGCAGTAGGAACACCCAGGCTTATGTAAAGCGTAATATGGAAGCATGTCGTCCACTTCCAGCTCCGTGCTAACGTTGTCATCGTTTAATCTATTATTTTTCACCCAAGGTAAGCACTTGACACTTTACATAACCCCGATCCCAATTGGGATTAATGAGTGTTGTCCAGCGCGCTGGACATCTGTGTGTGTGTGTGTTTGTGTGTGTAAAAACGTATGTTGTGTGTGACCCAATTTGACTCCAACGGGAGTCCAGTTGGTCCAGTTGGAGCGAGAATATTTTCCGGCCTTCCTGCGTTGGGTTTCCTCATCAGTCCTCCTTCTCCTCCTCCCCGTACTTTATTCTCATTCTTATCCTTATTTCCGGACATTTTCATTTTCATTTTCGGTTGAGATGTCACCCGGGTGTAATAAATTTTGGGGATTCCCACGGTTTACTGAGGGAAATTTTGATAAGTTGCCCGGGCTTACTGAATGGGCCAAAACTTAAGTGAATTGCGGCAAATCTCCCCCAGGCTTAGTTGCAAATTAGCGTAAATTTAAAGAACTCAGTGCCCAAAGAGGATTAGTTTAGCATAAAAAATCATTAGAGTTTTGAATTCTTTTATAAACGGCTTCTAAAAGTATGCAACAAAATGTTTGTGTTGTTGAATTTTAACCAAGAAGAGTTATATTTTGAGGTATTATGTGATTTAGGGGGATATATTTTACGAAACCTTTACTTTAAAGTAAGATTTATTGATATTGAAAGATAAAAATTAATTTTTGGCTTAAATTTTGTTTAAAATATGAATTATTTCAGAATATGTGTAATAGGGAAATTCAAATAAAATACTGCTTAAAAGTATGTAACCAAAATATTTCGTTTCGTAATTTTGGGCATATTTTGAACTGATTTCCAGGACAATTATGAACACATTTTGAAAAGTCTAATAACACAATGTTAACTAAAATGATATAAACAGATTAGAACGCTAATCGGAATAAAAGCTTCCTCTATTTAAAAAAATGACATTTACAAGTCGTCTTTGTTGACTTACTTCCACAGTCATTGCATTTGCGTTGATTTGCCATGAATCTAACAACAATATGTCCCCCTCAAAGATAATAAATCTCAGTCAAAGTGCCCTCAGCCTGGGCTCAATCGCCAACCTCCTCCAGCCCCAGCCCCAGGCCAAGACCCTTAAAAAAGGACCTGATCTACTTGATTTGCATGCAAATTGCGTATAAATCCTTGAATTGTTGATGCAACACGAAAGCCCAAGTCCAAGCCAAAGCGAGGATAGCCCCCATTTGCGGGAAGGTGGGTCCAATAGTAGTTTTAACTTGGCCCAAAACTCATTATTTGGTAATAGCCATCGTCGTCGTTGTCGTCGCTGCAAATGTTTGCTTTTAATTAAAACAAAGAGAAGCGCTAAGAGAAACTGTTTGCCGTTTGCTGTTTGCCAAGAAAAACTCCGGCAGCTGTTCATTTGGGCCAAATTGATTTTTTTTCCAAGACTTTGAACAGCCGTCGTCGGACCTAATTGGCGGCTGGAGCGAGGCATCTTCTTTGCCAAGTGTGGCCACCAATTTGGCAAACTTTTTTCTCAAATTGCGCAAAATTAAAGGGGGGAGGGACGGGCCTTTGGTTAAATGACAGCCAAGGATTTTCGTTTCATTTGGGGGTCCAATCAAATTGAATTTCCATGGAAGTGGTAGTGATGGTGATTCAACACTGTGGTTTTCAGCACTTTGACACCACCAACGGCGCCCCACCAGAACCACTTCACAGAGAAACACATGCAACAATTTACATTGTTGTTCCGCAAGGGTGACACTATTTTTAGAGTGCAATTAGAAGGGGTTTTGTCAACTTTTGGGGTAGTTTCGATATCTGGTATGCCCTAACTGTAGAATTTTTAATATACATATAAATATGTATATAGTAAAAGTCGGGAAAATATATTTTTTATAAGTTGTTCGTGAATAGAAAGCTAAAGCAAATTTAAATGATCAAAATATTATTTGTATGATATGGGGTTTATTTAAATAATGCTTCAGTATTAGTATTATACAATAAATAAATTTATTTTGCTTTTAAATAAATAATATATTTAAAAATATAAATAAAACCCGTTTTTTAATGTATACCCACTTGTTGAAATATGATTGTAGTATCATGTTTTATTAAGAGTTCTTTAAATTAACACAAAAAATTTGTTCTAGTAATAAAAAATAATTTAAAAATAATACTTTAAATATACTTAAAGGATTTAAGAACAATACCTTATAATTTTTAGCCCTTACTAGAATAAAAATTGCGTTGAAATTGTTGTTAAAACTGTTTTTAACAGTGTTGTTAAAACTGTTATCCCAAAATGAACCCAAAATATACTTGTCCCTTAGAAAAAGAGGGTATCAAAAGACAAAGCTCCGAAAGTGCGGTTTGTCTGGGGACATATTTTCAATGGCAATGCCAAAAAATAAAAATAAAAGAAAATAAAGCAAACACAAAGAAAAGGTTGAGGTCACCCTGTCTCACTCATACTCATATATATTTTTTATGGAGATTTTTTTGTGAATTTGATTTTGCATTGATTTTCCGCGTGGTGGAATTTCGAGTACCCGCCAGGTTGGGGCAGCATTTCTTGGTTCTTGATCGATCCGCGTGACTCGACTCTAATTGCACTCACACACACACACACAGCTCAGCGACACACGCGACGTTCGTCACACACAGGCATCGAATAAAAAGCAAACCCATAAAAGTAGGCAATGAAAAAATGCATTTTGCAATTATGCCAAGCGAATGGAACTAGAAGTACGGCGACAACTACAACAAGTTCAACAAGTGGGCGTGGCCAGAGAGGGGGTATAGAGAGAGAAAGTCCTGTTGCCTGTCCTCTGTCCTCTGTCCTATTTCCCCCCCATTCTCCCTTCATCTGCTTTCGAGTTCCTTCTGCTAAGCAAATAAAGTGCGAAATGAGAATCGGCGTGGCATAGACACAGTGGAATGATTTCAATATATAAAAAGTAGAAGTAGGTCAAAAATATCAGTTAAAAGGAAGTATTACAATTATTATTAGAGAGATAAAAGCATAGAAAATGAATATTTTGTATATAGTTTTTTCCTTTTTTTAAGTATCTAAGATTAACTACAGGTTTTATCTTCTATATTTGAGTATATGCCAGATTATACGTTTAAATTTTATTATTATTTATTTATATATATATTTATTATTTAACAAAATATTATGTGTGAAAACGGTGAAACTTTATTTATATATTTGAATATTAACTTAGTGCGACAAGGATGACCTTATATTTATTTCATTATTCAAAATAGCCTTATATAATAAATCTTCAGTGACTTGAAACCAATTTACAAGTATAAATAATTATATAAAATAAATTTCTGTTAAATTTAAATACAATTTCTGTTGCATCTCAGTAATATTTACGACCTGGAACACCCTGTAAGACCCCGGAATGTCTCAAAACTGGCTATGCCATGGTCGGGGTCATGCATACTTCATTGCTCCCACTGTGCCCGAGTTGGGCCAGAGGCTGGGCTGGATTAGCTCTTGTCGTGACCTCGTGGCCCGGTGGCATGCAAAATGCAACTAATTATGAATTTTAATTAATTCTGGCTTTTTATTTTGTTTGCTGCTGCCGTTGCTGTTGCTTTTGCTGCGGAGCCTGTGGGCAATAATAATAATAAAGTGACTTGGGGGAATTGCAGCAAAAGTCTTCAGCTACAGTTTTCCCCCCAACGATGCGATACACTGTTGTTTCCTAAGACTTTCCACAGAATGCACAAAACGAGCTGGAAATAAAAGTAAAATGGGGGGAAAAACAACAACATTGAATGACTCTTTTGTGTCCGCAAGTCGGTTTCGGTTCAAGTGTCCCGCCTTTCACCGGTTTTCTGTCGTTTGATTGGGCCGGGTTCATGGCATTTTGGCCAAGGGAGATTGCTTTTTTTTGTTTTTCTTGCTTTTGACCAGGCCAGAACCAGAGCCAGACATTGGAAAGTGCCACATGGACCTTGTGAAATGTTTCTATTTTTGCCAGCAATTCTTTCAAGGCATTCAAAGTCATGTAAATTCTTTAGAAAACCAGCAACGGCCATAGAATTTCGCTTCAGTTGTTTCCACAGCAAATTCTTTGCATAAATTGCAAATTTCTGTCACTCTGTGCGAAATTTACATTTAAAGGAATAATTAATATGTTGTGCAATGTTATTTAAATATTTGTACATGTAACAATTTTCTGGTATTTTAGTGTTATTAATATTTAAAATATTTGAGTTTGATATTTGGCTTTAAATTCCTGTATTAAGTTATTTATAGAGAATATAATATAACGAAAATAATTGCCAAAAATATTCGTTTAAATTGCTTTTAATTGGCAGACATTCGAGGCTTTTGTGTGTGGATTTTGTGGTTGAACTAAATTCGTTTGATTTAATAGGAATGTTTTTAGTATTTTATATGTGCAAAGGCCTTGGTTATGTTTTCCTGAATTCAATGTGGGCGTTATCTACTTTTAAAAGGCATTTTCTATATTCATTTCATTTCTGTTTTTTTTTTTATAATACATTTTTCCCTTTTATTTGCTTTCATTTGGATGGCTCTTCCCAGTGTTTTTTTAGTGCTATTTATTTTATTGTTTTGTTGTGCCAGCAGAATAATCGCATAGTCTACTTCTGAGGGCAACAGCTGCAACTGACAACCGGGGGGCTCTCTTAACCCCCATCTACTTAACCCCTGTTGTGCCTCGAAAGTTTTATGAATTGGAATTTAATGCTCTCATAGATTAAACTGCATTTTGTCCAACTCTCCCCCACTATTTATTATTTGTTTTCCCATTGTTTTTAGCAAGAATCGATGGACAATGTGCGGTCGTTCTAAGCCAAATGCATTTTTAAGCTCCATAAAAATGTCAGGGCTATCGCAAAAGATACACTGAGCATCATGAATAAATTTTCATTCATATCTGCATGTTCACTCTAGTATTTATTAATATTTTAAATTAACGTATCTGAGGGGAAATTAAGGGGGAAAAAGTAATTGCTTTGGTATCGACATTCGCCGCGGGAGTAATTAATACTGCAACACAGAATTGC